CAAACAGCCTAACTCTCCCTGGTGCATCGGGAGTCTCCCGCTCCCAGCCGCCAAGGAGAGAAACACTGCTTTTTCTTTTTTTTTTATTCTGACACGGTACCGTGTCAGAATAGAAAAAATAATAATTTTGGGCATAGGAATACATTGCTAGATTCCTATTGGCTGTTTCAATTTGCAATAGCCAATAGCAAACTAGCATTGCACCCGCCCTCTGCTTCTGTTCTCCATCAGGTCCAACACTACAGATTGACAGCAGCAGAGGGGGGGAACAATAGCTAGTTTGCTATTGGCTATTGCAAATTGAAATAGCCAATAGGAATCTAGAAATGCATTCCTATGGCCAAAATTATAAAAAAAATGATTCTTTTTTTTTCTTTATTCTGACACGGCTCTGTGTCAGAATAAAGAAAAAAAACCGAAAAAGCAGTGTTTCTCTCCTTGGCGGCCTGGGAGCGGGAGACTCCCGGAGCGCCCGGGAGAAAACAGTTGGGCGGAGCTAGCTGTCACTGCTAGCTCCGCCCAATCATTTTCTATTTATTTTTTTCTACTTTTTAAACAATTTTTCTGTTCTGCTCAGCGGCATTCGGCTATTCACTCACTGCTGTTCGGCATCTATAAGAATAGACCAAACAGTAGCCAGTAGCCTGTGTCATTCACTCGGCTGCCTACGGCAGCTTAGTGAATTGACCCCTAAGTCTATCCCTAGTGTTTCTACGGGGACAGCCAGAGTTTCCAATCACTATGAAATTGAACAAAGAAGCTCCAAAAGCCAGCTACACAAGACATATATAAAAGGTAAGAAATATTAAAATAAATAATTTTTAGGTATGCGATCTGAAAAGTAACACATAACAAGCATATCATGTGGTTTTCCTAAATTTGTGTGCAAAATAGGAAATACACTTTAAGAATTTATTCAGATGGGTGTGCACGTCCATAGGGTGTGCACGTCCATACGGTGTGCATGCCCAAAAAAAGACCAGAACCTGGAAGGGACAGGTGCGCACAGCAGCCTGTTCTTCCCTATGGGAGGATGCGACTGCATGCAATTACATGCAATTACACACACACACACTTGAACCTGCACATTCGTGCAGGTCAGGGTGCCCACACTTGGACACAGACAGTGTGCCATTTCCCTTTCAAATGGGCCCCAACTGCAATTACTTTTTTAGATACTCAAATTCTGACAGACCTCTCCTCAACCAGGGAATTAAGCTATATTCGCCTAATATGCACTTTCCAAAAATCCAGAAAAATGCACGACACAGTGCTCAGCAGACTCCCAATGATATTCTCCACCAACAATCATTTTTGCAGGCTGCCATCATCAAAAGGCCACTGGGAAGTATTCCTCACAAAACATGCAAAACAAAGAGACAGTGCCTTGTCCTCGTGTAATACCGTTTATTAATCAATGAACATAGAAGCTGACATAAAATACTACTCACCTGGTAATCACTGAATGAATGGTACAAGGCAGATCCCACACAAAGCTGCCTTACTATCTGACGTGTTTTGGGGAATATACCCCCTTCCTCGGAGCTCTGAAGAAGGGGTATATTCCCCTTCCATCCATGCTCATTTTCATCTCCCCCCAGCTCCCCTTTGCCTTTTCTGGACTGTATCCAGAACCTTCCCCTATCTCCTATAATAAACACTGCTCCTGTCCACCACACAGTCCCATATGTTTGCTAAATAACTTTATTCACTCAATACAAGGAAATCATAGCGTGGGACACTGGGCACTGGTTACCTTCTTGTTTTTTTTTTTAACACCAATGTTCCTTATAGTATGAGTTTCATGAACACCTTGTACAAAGTCTTTTGTAGATAATGTTTCTATGTATCACTACACTACATGGATAGCACACATCCCATATTTGTATGAGTGCTCAAGACTCTGATGCATCTTTGTACCTACATTTTACTGTTTTATGGTATCTGTACTGTCTAAAATAAAAAATGTTAAAAAAATAACACCACCGTATTTATTTTTATGACTTAGATAAATATCAAATCACATTTTAGGTGCTATTCATGCATAAATCCAGGGAACTTTGTAAAGTGGTTTGCACATGTTTTCTCGCAAGTACAAATTAATGTTATTAGATGCCAGATTCATTGTTTACTGAGAAGCTTGGTGTAAAATGTCCATGGTCATTTTTTCCCTGCTGTTCTGATTCTAAATAGAAGATCATATCATAAAATAAAACTGTTTAGAGCCTTTGCTAATGGAAGGATTTGGCTGAATAAGCCAGTTTTCAGAAATTTGTTAGGCTAAAGCTTTCCATAGCAACTAGGGATAAATGCAAAAAATGAGAGTGGCTTTCATCTGCAATTACTAGCAAGATTTTGGAACCGATCTATGCTGTTTAAGTAGATAGTCTTCTCCCTAGGATAAAAAGCACGAAAAAAATGTGGTGTGTTGCTTAGCTCTATAAGCTACCAATATACTTGAACATTATATATTCAGCAGGAGCAACTGCATAAATAATTGATGTTCAGGAAACATTCTGTCTCTAAAGATCATTTCCTTAAATTCAGTTATGTTTTAATAAGTCATTCAAAAAAACACATAGCTCTACATGGAATTAGCTACATGGATAGTGATGTGATATGACATCATACTCAGAAAGTTGCGCAGTTTGGTGACAGTTATTCAAGAGGACCATTAAATCAGTATTTATGTTCAAAGCAGATGCAGCTAGAAAATGCACATGAGATTACACAGACTATATGTAGGTCTGCAACACAATAAATTGTAAATACATAGCACTACTAAGAAACTATTTAGCCAGACAATTGCTTTTTTAGGGAATTTTAAAGATAACATAGAAAGTACATAAACGTAGATTCTGATGATGCACTGCATCTTATTGCTTCTTTCATTGCACAGCTGTAAGTCAACATATTCCTAACTAGAATCCATATACAGTTTATCAAACACTAACACAACTCTATACAAAAATCTATTTCTTCCACAATTGTATGAACCTTTTGCTGAATTTCAGCCTGCCATGAACAGGTTTATAATTTCTTCTAATTGTTTAATGTGAGTTGAAAATAAATTAAATTATTTTTCAAGTTATCCTAACCAAAATTCTAATTCCTGTATAGTACATCTCACATCTCAGACCAAACTCTAAATAATCTGTTTCCCTCTAAATTCATTATAAAAGTACCATAATGCCACTAAAATTGATGAAAATGTATCCAATAAGGCATTGTTCTGCACACATTTCTTTCGGATGAAGTAAATAATCATGCTGTTCCACCAAGGGGCTAACAATATTGCATTCTATATCTTGGTTCAAAGAACTCTAACTTTGGGAACTTGATTCCATTGTTGTCCATAAAGCAGAACTCCAGCCAAAAATAACAAGATAAACATGAATAGCCCATTTAAAGATAACATGACCAGTTTTTGCTGCAATATTTATATTCAATCAAGAGATCTCTCCACAGTACTTATTTTCCGGCCCTAGATGGCCAGTATCATTCAACTCATTTTCTCTGAGCTCAGGTCATGCTGGACCCACCACTGCCTGTAGCTGGACAGTAAAAGGAGAAGCACTCTACCATGAAACTCATACCACTGGGTGTGCTGGCCGAAGAGGTAAATACACAACAACCAAACAAACAATTACCCTGCACTATCATATATAATGCAAAACAATATAAGCACCTTTATTGGTACCATAGTAAATACAGTACAAAAAGCACCAGTGAGGAGTTACAGCAGGACTGGTGGAGAAAAACGCCATGCGTTGTGTCTGCTAATCCATGGCATTCACATTGTTGCAATATGCACATAGTTCTCATCACAACCATAAAAAGTACTTACAAAACTGAACTATGCAAACACATTCTTAAATACACTTGTATGACAAGAATAACATTACAAGGCCTTCATTTTTAAATTTAGTTTGTTGGCTGACTACAGTCAGGTATGAAAGCAATTGATTTCTGTTAATTTACTCAAAACCAGTTTTGAGCAACACTCATTAAATCAATGCCTGAAGCAGTAATTACCTGCTATTAAAATGCTTTTAGAGATAACTGTTTAGCACTTGGCTCTGCATTATTGAGTTATTTCTTTAATGTGCTACCAGAGTTGTCAATTAGTTGTACTAAGCAACGGGTTTCACAGACTACACAAATGAGCAGAAATTGGAAGCTTTTAAAAACTCTTTGTAGCACAGTACGTTGACCACACATGGTAATTGATTGCTGGACTACAACATCTTGTACAAAAGCAAACTATTTTCACTTAATTTTCATTCAAATATAAAATGTAATATCTTGCAAGGCAGACAAAAATTAACTTTATGTACACTGGAAACCCAGTTTTGGTATTAAAGGGTTAATCTGCACAATGATGCAAATTATATTTTGCTAAAGATTTATTTTAGCTTTTGAAACGATGTTAAAATTAGTTTACATTACATTTGTTGTCAGTTTCTACAGTTAGTCATTTAAAGTAAATGATTTGTTTGAAAATAACCCACTTAGTGAAGTAAAAAAAAAAGAGCTGTTCTTTTGTATCATCACATAGAGATCAGTTTTTGGGTACCATCATGAAACTTTAAGAACCCAAAAGGAGGTATGCATTTGTAGTTGTATTTTTATTATGTACTTTTACTATGCAGTGTGAACGTAATAACAAAGCTCCCTTTTATAGCTCAGTGTTGTGTTGTTGTGCAAGTAAATAAAAAATTGCTGCCTGTTTCACTGCAAAGTACTAGGTGACATATGTTTTAAAGGGAATATACTAGTAAAAAAAGGTAAATTGATTATACACATTACTATGTTATCTTATTGATATATCAGTGCTTCTTGCTTGTTGCACCCATCAAATTGGCTTTTGGTAATCCCTTTTTCTACTGCAGTGAAACCCTGTGTTACTTTGTTACAATGTTTACTTTGACTCCCTGTCACAGTGACATGTCACCAGGATTAATACCAATGATTCTTTATCATTGCTGTGGAACCGATAGTGTATAATTTATGATATTGTGAACAGCCAAAAGAATCATAATGAAACTGATGACAATACTTCAGTATAAAGACAAGGACATTGATACAACCCAGCCTAGATGGTTACTAGTACAGAAATTAAAATAAACAATAGTAATACTGTTGAAGTAAATGGATTACAAACATGTATTAAAGGAGAACTATGGGGTCAGGGCTTTTCCCCATAGTTCTCCTTAGGGTAACGGGAGGACACAAACTAGCGTCCTCCCATTACCCTAAGCTCAGTATACCGCGAGCTACAGCTCGCGGTATACTGAGACGCCGCAGCCGGAGCGGATCCCGACATCGATGTCGAGATCCGCCCAACTGCGTGAGTGACAGCTGGCTCTGCCTATCTAGAGGCAGAGCCAGCTGTACCCGCCCCCTCCCCCGTCCGATCTGCCAGTCAGCGCTGGCGGATCGGAGCGGGGAGGGGGGAACCCAGCCCCTCCCCTGTCACGGCAGAGAGCCGTGACAGGATCGAGAGGTGAGCGAACGCCGGTATCTGTTCGCTCACCTCCCGATCTACTGCGCCGACCTGTGACAGTCTCATTGTCACAGGTCGGCTAGAACTATGAGGTGAGTGGAAATCACTCATCTCATAGTTCTCCTTTAATAGTTTATTAAAACAATGCATTTTTGCGGTTACATTATTTGCTTCAACTGTATCCTTAGATTTCCAGGGGGGGGTCAAGTGTTTTGTGTAGTTCCTTTGTGCAGCAAAGGATTAAACCTTCCCAAATACTTTGTAACAGACTTCCAGATAATGCTGATGTATTGACTTCTGGTTTAAAGCAGAACTGCAGTCAATATGGCTAATACAATAAACATCTGTTAAACTTTAATTTGTTAACATAATTTCCTCACCACTCCTTTTAAAAACCCTGTTATATTTTCATGTTTCATTTGTTATTGATATGTTATGTTCTGTCCACTGTTGCCGACAAACTTTTAAATGATACTGCAGGTTATCGTGGATAGATAGGCTAATAGTTTTGAAGGATTAGCATAATTGTGCTGTGCTGTGCAGTCTGCAGGGCAGTACCATGCTGTGAATACTAGAAATTACATTTAAGGAAAAGGATAGAGGCAAAAAAAAATCAGTGGTTGCATTAATGAATATTTTTTTACTTCAGAAGTAACTCATTCAAATGGTGGTTGGTACCTAGAGTACTTATCAAAAATTGGTATTTTAATCCATTGCTAGAGACTATCATTTATATTGATCTAATACATTTTATTAAGATTTCTGAGTTTTATTTATCCTGTTGAATAGGTACAATTTTAAGGCTTATCCAACTAGTAACAGACTTGCTATATCTCAACTCATCTTCTGGCATCCCATTTTTAAAGTCCAACGAGGTGGACTTTAAAAACTGGCAGGATCACCAGTCTCACATAAACCTAAGTGATCATTTTCAAAAAAAGGAGAAAAATGCAAAGTCAGATATGGAAAAATGTATTCTACATGGCATGTAATAACTCAAACCTAGAATGACAAAAAGGCTTCTTAACAGCAGATTGAAGAAACTATGTGAATACAGGGTGAAATGATAGCTAGCTTAGATGACATTCATATTTTCTACCTTGTCTCTCTTACCTTCAAATATTCGTAAAACTTCTTGTTTAATATATTTTTTCAGTTCTTCAAATGAAATATTTTGTGTCTGCAGAGAAAGTTATTCTGGTTATTTGCATAATTGAAACAAAAGTACAGCATAAAATACAATAAATCTTTGTATTTGAGATGGCACAGAGGTGTCTTTAAAAAAGAAAAACCTCTCTATAAAGTTGATTCTTAGATTGTTATTTTCCTTGTCAGGTTTCTATTCAGTAAAATATTTGGCCATGTGTCAGAGGAGATTCTGTTCTGATGAGTAGGAATGAATCATGAAAAGTTGCACAGCATACTGTAACAGCTTTTAGGTCCCATGTGCACATTAGCCCATTAATCTCTCGACACACACAGTTCCAGTGTTACAGTATGATCTGAATAGAATTTCTTTTTTCAGCTATTGCAGACTATCAGCAAAGGAAATACTTGCACAATATAAGTATGATTTGTCCATGCTCATTTTTTTTTGATTATCTCATGAGCAAAGATGGCAAGCTTAGAGATAATGTTTTTCACTGTGATGTCCAGAACTATTCTTTGCAGCACAACTCTGCAGCACACATCCTCACTCAATGCACTAGTGAGCTCCTTCCACAACAGGACAAAACAGGAATGCTTGTATTGCATTGTCCCTATAACAGCAGGAGGCAGCTAGGCAGCCATGGTCCTGCCTTAGACAAAGTTATCAAATGAGCTCTTTTTAGGAACAGCCCTGACACAGAAAAATTAAGATAGCACACAGGGTTGTTGGTGTTACATATACAAATGTGCGGCCTGGTGTCAAAATTTTAGCATGAAACATGAAAGGAAAAGCTTACTGTAAAAAAAATGTGTATAGGGTTTTGATATGCTTTATGTTTTAATCACTTATTATGTGCTGCAAAAAAAGTAGCAACTCCATCCAAAGTAGACTGGTTATTTTTAGGCAGAGAATGACCAGGTTTGAGCCCTCTTGTTTTCTGTTACCATCTGCCTTGTGCTGAGTACTCTAAGATTGTATGAAACACCATGCATAATGAACCATTTTACAGCTGTGCTTCCTTTCAGTGTTAGATCATCCTATTGGGCTCTTAGAAATCTTTAAATAGCTAATTAGGGATTGTACTAGAGATGTAAATTTTGTTTAGTTTCTGAATAGACATCCATACAAATTTCGATAAATGATGACATTTGAACGCATCCGAATGCAAATCAATCCGAATGTTCGTTTAACACAAATTTGGATCCAAATCCAAAATTGCTTCCAAATTTTTTCAAAATGAAACTAAATCTGACATGTGACTGTTTAATGGCCAGCCAGATTTTTTTTGGCTGTTGATGGTTGCATTACAACCATACATCGGCGCATCCATGATTTCTTTTCTCCCCGCTGGGCACTGCTCTATGTCCCAGCGGGGAGAAGAGAAAGTGACAGCCGGCCGAAGCGCTGCGGTGGAGAGCGATGTGAACGGCCGGCGTCTCCTCCCACACCGCTCTGCCGCCTATCACAGTCCGGCAGAGCGGTGTGGGAGCGCAGACAGCACTGTCACAGGAGGCTGGGCTTTTCTCCCTACACCGCTCGATCAGCCTCCTGTGACAGCGTGTCAGAGAGAAGAGCAAGGTACACACACTCAGCGATCAGTGATCGCTGAGTGTGTGTACATAATTGAGAATATGGTATGTTAACTATATCCTCAATTATGAATGAATGGGAGTGATCTACATCACCCCCATTCATTCATAATTTTAGTTATAGTAAACAATGTACTCATGTTATCAATGAACAGGAAGACTCATAGAGGATTCCTGTTCATTGATAACAGGGGACACAGAAAAAGACATTAAGGACTTTGTGTTCTCAATCTCTTTTTCTATTTTAAAAGGGAAATATCAGGGGTCTGTTTAGCCCCCTTATATTTTCCAGAAGCCCCTAAAAGTAAAAGTAAATAATAAAAATATTTAATAAAAAATGAATAAAAATAAATATAAAAAAATTTGAAAAAATAAAAAACATTTTCGGTATCGGTTTCGGCCTGACATTTTTTTTTATTTCGGCTTCGTTTCGGTTTTAAAATTTCCATTTCAGTGCACCTCTAATTACAGGCATGGTCATGTGACTTCCTGTTGTGGATCCTTACCGAAACAAACATTTTGACAGCTACAAAATCCGAATTATTAACAGAATCAAATTTTGGATCCGAAAAACAAGAGTAATGAAAATTGGAATTGATCCAAAACAAATCTTTTACATGTTTAGATTGTACATTATCCATCTTCAGTCAGACCAAAGTAATCAACTTTGGATGGTGTTGCTGAGGCAAATGTATCAGCAGTTATCTGTAAATGCATAAATTAAACTAAAAATCATAAGGCCCTGGTAAAAAGTCTGATTGCTGCAACCTCATTATTTGCACATTTTTGAGAGCCCTGTTTAGCTGTATTAAACAGAGCACAGTGGCTTCCTAAAGAATCCCAATAGGCCTAGAGGAGGTTAAGGGCGGAGAAAACAGGACATAATGTCCTATGAAATACAAAAAAAATCTGCTTTGTGCTGTACAAAATGTAACAAGAATTACAGCATAGTAAGGCTAGGGAAATTGTAGACAGGATTTTGTCCCTGTCCTCATGAGTTTCAGGTGCACTTGAAAGGTGGTACAAAAGGACCACAACCTAATTATCCATTAAACACTTCAGTAAAGCACTGCAAATAACCAACATACCACTGGAATACCTGACATTTAAGTGGGTTCTTATGTGTTGCCTTTAAATAGATTTAGATGCAGGTCTGCTTGCAGTACATTGCCACAATGCCACTGCTTTGAAGTTTACACCCAGGAGTACAGGTTTACTGCAGTAGGGATAAGCAAATGTGTCTGGGTTCAGTTCGCAAGCCTTCATTAAACCCATTGTAAAGTCCTAAAATTGCACGTTTTAATCCAAACCCTATTGAAAGCTATGGTGGCCAAATCTTGAAAATCAGTTGTGGCCAATTTCAAGGCTAATAGGCAAGAGATTGTCAAACAAAGGGCATAGGGATCTAGGCACTGCTACAGGGGACATATACCAATGCAATTTTTAAATACCAAATAGCATGAAGGTTGTCTTCCTTTTTGTGACTTTAAAGGTGAAAAATATGATTCCTTTCTATTACATGCTTGTGGGATGTCGTTAAGCTGTATGAGGTGCTACGGAACAGTAAAACTATCATGGACAGCATCAGCAACACCATATTCTAGCTTCACATATTTAGCATATGTAACTGATATTTTAAATGTTACATTTAGCTTGGCTTAAATATAGCAACAGCCCCCCTAATCTAAATTATTTCAACTTGGAAAGAAATACTTTCGAGGTAGAATTGGCTAAGAAACCTATTATTTTTTATCCAGCAGGAATAGGCCTGAATTGAATGGTACAAGTAGAAGACAAAACAAATTTTAAAAAAGGCCCTCAACTTCAAACAAACAGTGGCACACAACTGTTTGATAGTATGGTTTGTATGCTTCTTTTTTCACAGTACCACACTGCTTTGTCTTGAAAGTTTAATAAAATATTAGAACACTTCAAAACAACAGCCACGCATTCCCCAAACCCCCTCCCATCTCCATATTGCCAATTATTCCAAAAATATTCTAAATATAGAATTTAGTTAGAAATTGCCCAGCATCAGGGCAGTACGCAAGCAATTGAAAATGTAGCAAATATAATGAGCTCTGCAGTATGGGCTTTTTTAATAGATCTGCTGCTGACAAAAGCTTAGTACTGCAGACACCTGTGGTAAAACTAACAGCCATTATGTGCCACATGCATTAGTAAATGCATGACTCTGCAGCAAAGTGCTGGGTGGGAGCAGCCCATCAATCAGACAAGTAGGCAGATAAAGGCACACAATCCTCCTCCTCCAGGGTGCATAGCAGCCATTTTTGTTGGGCCTACTAATTTGCCCTTTTTCGTTCTCCTCCGACTCAAGGGCACATAGCAGCCATTTTGTATTATTAGACCATGTTCTTTGTACTGCAACCTTTCCCATATAACCCTGCAGAAAGTTCCAGGTCCTTTATCTCTTCCTTCTCCTTCACAATTTCACATATGCTCAATTGGCTGCTCACTGGCCACGAGGAGTCTGCAGAAATGTTGGGATGTTATTCCCAGTACCAGTCCATAAACCTCTTAAGACCTCTGATGAGGTGGTGTGTTGGGGTGCTGGCAGTGAGGAGAAGGAGAGCTGGGGTGTTGGCAGTGAGGAGGATTTGTGATGCTGGTGGCAAGGAGGACATTCAGGGCAGCTTTAAGAGAGATGTTTCACCCCTCCCTGACACAAAGGGACAATCATGTAGAGATCTTCTACCACCATCCAAGAGGGAGTACAAAGTGTCCCACTTTGAGGATACATGGCAAATAAACTCCTTTGTTGCATTTCCCGATGGTGGTTGGATCCAGTGCAATATATTCTTAGCTGAAGGGGGGGGACCTAGTGGGTAAAGGCCAACTTTCCCCCCCCACTAGGTGGCTTTGGTTTGGCACATTTGTTGTCGAAACTGACATGGCTACCCTTTGTGTGTGGGCACATCACCACACACTTGTGAGCAATAGTGATGTGCTCTAAAGCATCCCCTATTTTGCTCCCCCATTTGCCATAGCTGCCATTACATTTATTTAATCTGAAGGCTGGCTCCACTGCAGTGACATAGCTGAATGGGGGCAACCTAATGAAAAAGGCTGGCCAGCATCACACAAGTTTGCTTTGCTTTGTCACTTGTACCTGACACAAGCAAAGCTGACCTTTGTGTGCTGCATGTCACTACATACTTTTGTGACACAGTTATGTGCACCAAAGCATCCTGTTCCCCTTTGGAATATCTGCCATTACATTTAGGCAATCTTCTTCATTACAAAAACAAGGTCTGCAAGGCCTAAAGTGAGGGGAAGTAAAAAAACAAATGTCTTGAGGCCGTTCCTGCCTGGTCAAGCAAACTCAGTGGATAGGGATAGCAAGGCTGTGAAAATGCTTACAAGGAATGATATACATGAACTATTGAGTTTCAATTCTAGACCACTGACTGGTGGTGGTCCAATATGCGCTTGAGGTACAAGCCTGTCCTGCTGGGGGGAAGAGATGTGAGACTGAAAACCTGCATTTCATTAATTTTGGGGTGATGTGATGGTGGAGTGTACAGCTTATTCTCAACTCTTTAGTAAATCAGCTTCAATATGTTAATTTGAAAAAACACAACAATATACAAGATTCGGGTGGTTCTTATTACCGCATCAGTTGTTTGTTGTGGATGGGTAACTGCGCATCTTCTGCAGTAAGATGTCTGCCAATTTATGACCACCATAATAAGTAACTTGGGTAAGGGTTAGGGATGAGCAGAGTCATTTCACAGCAAAATTGATTTCATTATTGCAAAATTTTGACGAAATGAAAGTTCACAGTTTTGCTCATTGAGCTGTTTAGGTGAAATATGCTTGAAACTAAATTGTACACTTTTTTATTTTGAGGATGTGGGTTTTATTTAGAGTAGTTAGATTTATTTTATTTTGTGTTCTATGGATGTGTTTTTTGTATATTTGATTATTTGTGCACGGTCACTTTACATATTTATTTTAATTTTTTACATTTTTCTTTAAAAAAAAAGTAATAAAGCTAATATGAGAATATTTTGTGGCACAGTAACTTGTCCAGGATAATTAACAGGGCTTTTTAAAAACCATTGCACCTTTAAAAACTATTTAAAAATGTCTTATATTTGCCTTCCCCAAGCGGACCTGATTTTCAACAAACTTTCAGGTAAATTAAACTCTCATTTTGTTTCATCCCCACTTGGGATAAATGTTTTAAATAAAACTATTTTGTTATTTAACTGAAGTACATTTATATTTAGACAAAACTACATGTGTAGGTATGTCTATGGAGGCTGATATACTGTAGCTCTTCATATTCAGCCAACCTAGGATAGCTCTGCTTGAAAATAATTTGGGTCCTTTCACATCTGACATGTCACTCCCTTCTGTACTGGGACCGTCAACTGGACAATAGTTTGGTGGGGTAGGGTTATGTTTAACCCCTTCGTGACGGGAGACGTACACTGTACGTCCAGGCACTTTGTGCCTATATGACTGGCCACGTACACTGTACGTGACGAGTTATATCAGGCTCTGTAATGCCGGTAACTGCTGATTCTCAGCGGTTACCAGCCATTAATGAACGCCTCAGTATTGAGGCATTCATTAATGAAATAGTTAAGCTTTTGTAAAAGCTTATTTCTTTAATTAATGAAAGAATGAAGCTGTTACATGCAAATACGGTATTTGACAGCTGAAAATAGCAGAGAGGCAGCAGAGTGACTCACCACCCTATTTGTTTTGACAGCACCATAGACTGGCCCGATGTTTATGAAGCTATGTGATACATCTCAAGCAAAGAGATAAAAGAGATACAATGTATCTCTTTGCTTGAAAGTTATCATTTCTGATGGTCTAATGAGATCTGACTCTGACATGCTGTCAGGATCAGTCTCTAAGGTTGTTATTAGCTGTTCCTAAGTTTGGAGCAGCCTAATAATAACCCAAAATGAAAAAAGTTAATTTATCAAACAGTCATAGTGACTGCTTAATATAAACTGACAAAAAAAGTGTAAAAAAAAATTAAGTGTAAAGTGCTTTTTCTACTATAATTATATCTAAAACATAATAATAATCACAACTTGTGAAAAAAGTGTTTCTCTTTATATTTTTTTCTTCTTTTTTTATATTTTATTCTAACTAAGTGAGGCATTAGGTACATGTTTGATATAATTATATAACCCTATCTGTGCTCTAAAAAAATATATATAATATGTGTGGGTACATTTAGTAAGAAAGTATATTACTGCTGTGGAAGAATCACACAGCAAAAATGTAAAAAGCGTCTCAGTCATTTATGAACAGAAACTGAAAACTAGCTCAGTCATGAAGGGGTTAAGGGAGACATTAGAATATCAAAAAAAGAAAGAAATCTCAGAACAAGGCATCCTGCTCTGTTCCTTTTTTGTATTTTGAGAGTATAATGTGCAAGGGGTATACACCTAAAGCAAGATCAGAACCTCTGTTTAGTTATATGTTCCTCTGCAAGATAGAAAATGTAAAATGTAAAACTTCTTGTCACTTTTTAAAACCATCTTTGTACTTAGGCCATGCAATTTGAAATCCTTACATACAACCTATGATCACAAGAAAGCTCACCATAGCAACGGATGATGTCAGTGAATAGTAGTAGTATTGTACCAAATAAATGTTTTTATTTACAAGTGCAACAAGCTTCAGCTATTGCAGCACATGAAAATATATTCGTCTTTCCATATAAAATACTGGATTTTATATTACAAAATACTATATTTAGCAACTGTAGAAAAACATACAAATTCATATTTCAAAAATGTTTACTGTGCTCTATTACTATATATGTAGACATTTCTAGTCCCTGCTCTATCTCACCTGTATTTTTGCTAAATAAATAGAGCAGAGATATAGAAAAGAAAAGGATATGTTTAAAGAGCGATACTGGGATTTCTGTGTACATGGTTGCAGGGAAAAACAGGCATCAAATGAAGACTGCAGAAAGATGGATCAAAATATTGCATGAAATGTAAATCTAAAGTCTCAGTTCAGAGGATCGCAATGCAAAGTTTGTTTTAAGAAAAGAAAAAAAAACAACATTTTGTCCTCTTTAACGCATTCAGCCATAAGCAAAAGCCAGGACCTTTCACCTGTTACCACTGCCTGGCCTAGTACCATACCCTTTAGATTTACCAACAACCATGTAGTTTGAAAGCCTACCTGATTGTATATATAATTGGTAACACATACAACTTTGGCTATCAATTCTGATATTTTTTTGCAATAAACATGGAACTAAGTTTGAACATGCATGTATGGTCATGTTTACCAATAGGCATTTACAGTTATCTGCCTAGGGAAGATAAGAGTGGCAGCACCAAAGTACAATATTTACACTATATGTTTATTGGGGAGGGGGGGTTGTGCTTTTTCTGTACACCTCTTGATTTGTGTGGGTAAATACAACAGCATAACTGGAGGAGGGCATGAGTAAAATGGCTGCAAAGAAGAATCAAAAGTAGTAAACGCCTCTTTCACCTCAGGCTCATGATTGGTGAACCATATGGTCCAATGTTGGACCACATAAATGGACACCATAATGCCTTCAAGAGCACACTCTGGTTTTCATAAAAAAAATAATAATAATAATA